AAGAAATTGGGGTTATGCAACTTTCCTAATATAATGAAGAAAAAAGCCTCATTAAAAAGAATGTGTCAAGTAACCTTAAGTAGATTGGCATCATCATTTATTATTATTTCTTAGGGGGAAAACTGCTTCAAAACTGCCAATATTGAATAGTTGAAAAACTTCAAAAACACGCCAAAGTCAGAGTAATGTTTGCAAAAAACGTGTTGAAATAAAACATACAACATGGGAAGGTATCAAAGAGAAGACCCTTGCAGAGAAGCAGTCTCTTAAAATATCAAATAATTTAATTTACGTTGTACGATGTGCTCAAAGGCCCCAAAACATAATAATTCATGATATTCTTAAATATGTATATATTTCATATGAAAATAGAATGGTATATGTAACAAAGTTCGTAGATCGTGAAGAAGGATGCAGGGAACCGGCGAACATTTAAACATAAAACTTTAATAAACAAATAAACGAACACAAAACGAAAGTAAAAGCGGCAGCCCCTCTATATATTATATTATAGTTTTTAATACATTTTTTATGCTTTTTGAGAAGCTTAATTTGTACACATTCAAGCTGTAAGAAAAATATGTTATGTGATTTTTTTTACGAGATTACGCCAAATCACATTTTTAAAGTCAATCATTAAATTGAACAATTGTTGAAAATGGTATAAACGTTTTTCAAAACATACAGAAACCAATAGACATACAACGATTACAGAACTTGCCACATGTTTTAACCTAGATTTTCCTTTCTTTATCTTGGACACTCTTATTTATTTCTTCTCAAAGGGGCTTGTGTGTAAAGCAGAGCAGAGCAGAGATGCTGGTTAATCACGGCTGTTTATCTTCAGAAGCTCCCTTCTTCCTCAGCGATGCCCTGAACACCCAATCCAGCATGAACTTCAGCACTTACGCTCCTCCCAACCTGCACTATGCAGTAAGCACTTCCACAGAAAGCCCTTCTCGCTTCTACAGACATCTGCCTCTCCCCATGGACACCTCCAAGACCACAAACCCCCTCTGGCAGATCCCGAAGACCGGCGTAATAGCCCATCAGCAGCACTCCCCGCCAGACAGCGGAGCCTCAGCTCGGACCGAGACTAACGGAGGAGCCACAGAGGCCAGAGAGGAGAGGAACCGTCCATCTGTGCTCTTTCATTCAGCTCGAGCTGAGGGAGAGAGGAAGACTCTGAACACTGAACCGTGTCACACCAGCGGCCCCAAGAGCCCTCTCAGATCAGACTGCCAACCCAACTCACCCGCCGAGTCCAGCAGCTGCAGTCGAGGAGCGGCGTCTCCTCCCAGCTCCATCAGTCACCCGAAGATCCGCAACTGGAAGAAGTACAAGTTCATCGTGCTGAACTCCGCAGACGGAGCGACTGACAATAGCTCACTCACTCCATCCCACATGGTTACAGAATCCACCGACAAGAACAATGAAGCCCGAGGGCAGCTCATTATGGATAGCAGGTCAGCGTAGCCAAACTTTAAGGATGGCAGTGCAAGTATTAGCATTCGATGCAGTATTTCTGAACATGGTGTCATGTGTTTTTAGCTCTACAGATGAATGCATCAAAACAGAAGTGCGTGACTTTTCACTTCCCAACACTTTGACAGAGGAGAGCAGCACGGGACCCACAAGTTCAGGTGAATACACTTTCCTCAAAATGTTGAAATGGATTTTGGGCCTAAACAGCATTCATACATGGGCAAATCTGATACATTTTTTAGAGAGTTTAATATTTTTGGGAGCACGTGTCAGTCAGAATGGTCAGAGTAACTTTTGTTTTTTATTTTTCATAATTTGAGATACAGCAAGATTTTTTTGAAGCAGGCCCCTGTGAGCCATTTTTGGGAAATAAGTCATTCTTTTTTTAAATAATAATAACCATAATGATATTAGTATTTAGGTATTATTTTATATATAATGTAATGCAATACTTAAATTGCATTAAATATTATTAATAACCTTTTCAAATGTTCACTCATAATAATATATAACTTAAAATAATAAGAAAAATAATAAAGGTCCGTTCACTTAAAACATTTAAATATTTTATTCAATATTTTATTATTTAGCGTTGTAATTAGTCAATAATAATAATATCATTTATCTGTCAATAACAATATTTAGTTATTACATAATAATACAAATAATAGTTATTATTATTATCATCAACTATTTACAAAAATCTAGGCCACAGTTGGTTTCTGAGTTTTATTAAAATAAAACTTAAGTATGTTCACTTAACTATTTTAAAGTATTAAATTAAATCAGAAATGACTTATTATTATTATTATAAATATTGAGGTATTACATTTTATGTATGTGTGCTATTTATAAGTGATGTATATGTAATAACCTATTTAAATATTAAAATACTAGAACTTTTAATAGTTATAGTCATATAAGTCATATTTAATAATATTTAGGAATTACATTGTATATATGTGTGTGTTATATATTTAAGTGATGTGTATGTAATACGTTTTGTGTTAAAATATTAAGAATATTTAGGTATTACAATATATATTTTAAGAGAACACAGCTGAGTTTTATTTTTATTAATTAATTTCCTGTTGGTTTTTTTCTCTTTGGGGGCCCCCTGTTGGTCAGTATGTGCGGTGATCAATATTGGACACAATTTGTTACACTGAACCACAAACCAAGTCATAAGGGTAATGTTTTTGCAATTGAGATTTATACATCATCTGAAAGCTGACTAAATAAGCTTTCCATTGATGTGTGGTTTGTTAGGACAATATTTGGCCGAGATACAACTATTTGAAAATCTGGAATCTGAGGGGGCAAAAAAAATCAAAATATTGAGAAAATCGCCTTTAAAGTTGTCCAAATGAAGTCCTTAGCAATGCATATTACTAATCAAAAATGAAGTTTTGATATATTTACGGTAGTAAATTTACAAAATGCCTTCATGGAACATGATTTTAATATCCTAATGATTTTTGGCATAAAAGAAAAATCGATAATTTTGACCCATACAATGTATTTTTGGCTATTTCTACAAATACACCCGTGCAACTTAAGACTGCTTTTGTGCTCCAGGGTCACATATATGCATGAATGTGAAAAATACAGTCTGCTACTCCTAACTGTAGTGGATAAGCGTCTTTTGGCATCTTATTGTTATTATATCATTATTAGCATAACCAACGTGGATACATCGGATATTGAAGACAGTCTGAACAGATCTGACTTCATCACTTACAGTGCTGACAGTCAGTCCTACAGAAGCCTAATAGCTCTTGTGTTGTGTTTGCAGAGCGGGACAGACTCTACTGTAACGAGTGTGAGTCCAAGAGCGAATCAGAGAAGCCGCGCTGGCTACAGGACGGAAAACCGTTCAAATGTGACCGCTGTCAGGCCATGTTCTGCTATAATGGAAACCTAGCGAGCCCCAAGACCGTCCACACAGGTAAATTTGCAGTTCTTTGGAACGCTGCGATGGCGCTCACTCAAACTTGTGTGTTGCAGTTTTACATTTTCCTAATGGTTTTTCATTGCAGGAGAGAAGCCGTATCGCTGCAACGTGTGTGGCGCTCAGTTCAACAGACCTGCCAATCTGAAGACACACTCACGGATCCACTCAGGAGAAAAACCATACAAATGTGAAACCTGCGGCTCGCGCTTCGTCCAGGTAAAAACCCACCCCCAGAGCGTGTTTCTGTACAGCGACAATGCAAAACAAACGCGTCTTCTACTGTCGTGGTTTTCAGGTGGCTCATCTGAGAGCTCACGTACTGATCCACACCGGAGAGAAACCGTACCCGTGTGACATCTGCGGCACGCGCTTCCGCCACCTTCAGACACTGAAGAGTCACTTACGAATCCACACGGGAGAGAAACCGTATCATGTGAGCACCTTCACATCATCGACGTCACATTTCTTCACATATCAGAATTGAATATTAGATCTGAGAAAGCATTCGATGTGAACTCTTCTTGGTTTCTCCTTTCAGTGTGAGAATTGTGATCTGCACTTCCGTCACAAGAGTCAGCTGCGTCTGCATCTGCGACAAAAGCACGGAGCCGTCACCAACACCAAGGTCCAGTATCGCAGAAGCAGAACCTCTTGAAAAAACCTGAAGCTGTTTCAAAACATTTTCAATTCTTTTAGTGGTACAGCCACCAGAACATACAGATGGATCTCTGTGTTTACTCTTATGGTGACGTTGCATATTAGGCTCACGTACTGATCCACACCGGAGAGAAACCGTACCCGTGTGACATCTGCGGCACGCGCTTCCGCCACCTTCAGACGCTGAAGAGTCACTTACGAATCCACACGGGAGAGAAACCGTATCATGTGAGCACCTTCACATCATCGACGTCACATTTCTTCACATATCAGAATTGAATATTAGATCTGAGAAAGCATTCGATGTGAACTCTTCTTGGTTTCTCCTTTCAGTGTGAGAATTGTGATCTGCACTTCCGTCACAAGAGTCAGCTGCGTCTGCATCTGCGACAAAAGCACGGAGCCGTCACCAACACCAAGGTCCAGTATCGCAGAAGCAGAACCTCTTGAAAAAACCTGAAGCTGTTTCAAAACATTTTCAATTCTTTTAGTGGTACAGCCACCAGAACATACAGATGGATCTCTGTGTTTACTCTTATGGTGACGTTGCATATTATCTCTTAAATATGGACTAGTTCACCAGCACATTCTGGTTCAGCCTGCATGATTTCACCCAAATATCATGATGTACGTCAAGTTCTGGTCGATAGTCCTAGTGGAAGATTGAGCATAATTTTATCTGTAGTATTTATTTTTATTAAGAATGCTATTTCACTCCCTCTCCAATCAAACTATGCACTGTATATATATATAATATGCAAACAAGGAATATTGGTACAAAATAATTATGCGATCGCAGTGTGTGTTTTATCAGTGTGGTACATTTAAAGAAGCTCTGCTCTGACAGTTCTATTGTATTTACTTGTATTTGTACAGCTGTTTTTGGTACTAGAGGGCCGAAGGTCCTTGCAATTAAATATTTCATACCAAACAAATGAGAGCAAAGTTCTGTTTGTATTTTTTCACATATTTAAGAATATAAAATAATTAAGAATATTCATATTTTGAATTAAGTGTTGTTTTTCATACTTGTAGTTATATTAATATTTAATTGCTGTTTAAGTTTAATCTATTTTTACTTCCATTGCAGTTTCCAAGTTCCAGTTCTGGTTTAGTTTTTATTTATTTCCATTGAGTCATTTTAGTACTTTCATTTATTTCAGTTAGTTGCCAAGGCAACGTTTTTGTTTAAACTTTTTCATCTAATATGTGCATTTTAGTTTATTTAAGCTTTATTTCAATAAAAAAAAAATTGTATTTTATAAAATAAATTTGATTTTAGTTAACAATACCCCAGGGTGAAAAATATTTATAAAGAATATATTCATCTTAATTTCAACATTTACTAATACATTATTTAAATCAAAAGTGGTCTCTGTTAATATTATTTAACAAACCTGACTTAACATAAACCAACAATTAATATATACATATTAGTGCTGTCAACCGATTAATCGCATCCAAAATAAAAGTTTTTTGTTAACATGATATTTAAGTGTGTACTGTGCATATTTATTATGTATATATAAATACAAGCACATGTATACATTTAACAAAAACATGTTATGTTTATATATTAAATATATTTATATATAATATAAAATATTTTCAAAATATATGTTAACTTTTATTTTGAATGCGATTAATCGTGATTAATTGTTTGACAGGACTAATATATATATATACTAACATAAAATGAATAAATACTGTAATAAATTGCTCATTGGTAATGCATTAATTAACATTAACTAATGGGACCTTCTTGTAAAGCGTTACCAAAAAGGCTTTTGTCACACTGCAGAACCATTGGAAATTAAATTAAATAAATAAATAGTTACAGGACATAAGCACTTTACTTTCAAAAAATGTCAATTTTGAATCTTAAATCTTGATGTTGAAAAAAGGCAGGTCAATGAATATGTGTCAAACTAGTCGTTGTTCAGGCATATTGTTGTTACACACATTAAATGGGCAAAAGTCACAGAACCTGATCATCCAACATACCTCCACACTAGATGGTGCAAGTGTCACGCTGATTCATTCACTTACAAAAGTACTGCGGTCTGTTATATATAAGGCTCATAGTCATGCTCATAGTTCTCTTCCACACAACAAAACCTGCATGAGCATAGCTTTGTCCAAAGACTGATTGTTTGTGCAGAAACATGAGAGGTCCTTTCACAAGCTCAGATTGCTCATGTTTCACAGCTTTATACCTACAGTGAATTTAAAGGGCCTGAACCTTTACTATTATTCCATTATTTCCTCCAGTGAACGAGAACAACTGTCCAACAATCTGTCCACATGCTTTTGTAGTTGAGAAACCAGATATTCTGTGTGAAAGAACAGCAATTCGCAAACTGGTCATATCCCGTTTGAAGTGTTTTTAGACTGCCGCCTGTTGACAAGCATCACATTTTAATGGGTTGTAGAGTAAAAAATAAGAACATTTCAATTTCTTAAATTCTAAATTTACCTTTAATTAAAATTATTCCTACGTGACTTCACTTTGTTATTTTTACCAACTTAACATTCATACACACTTATATTTAAGTTCAAAAGTTCCTCTCTTTTAAAACAATACCAATATTTTTTAAAGGGGTCATATGATGCTACATGCACTTTTACAAGTTGTTTGAACTGAAATGTGTGTTGGCAGTGTGTGTACACAACCACCCTATAATGATAAAAATCCACCCAGTGGTTTTTTTTTTTTTATCTCTTAAATGTTTTCCCCTTTCTCAAATCGAGCCGATCTCAGATGCCTGTCTGTGTGACGTCACACAGACAGGCCCCTCCCACGATAGTTTGATTGACAGTAGCGTTTCAGCACAGACTGGACTGGTGTCTTACCTTATGCTGTGTTCAAGTCCTCCTGGGACGTTCGTACTTACGAGTTGACGAGTCGTAATTACGACGTTAGGTGCGTTTAAGTCAGTTTAGTCGGCACAAGATGGCGGTGTACCTTCTTTTAATAAATTACAAGAAAATACAACAGGATCTGTTAACTCTGCTTATAGAAAACGAAGAGCAAAGAATTCGCATCAGGTGTGTTTAAATTTTTTTTTTTTAGACCAGGATCCCAGTATAACTGATTTTCAGCATCAACAAATGCTAAAATACAGAGATTTAAAAAAGCTGTTAGCTAAATGCAACATGGCAAATCAAAAGATTTTTCAACTATAGGTGTAAAAATGATAGCATTTTTTTTTACTTGGATTTCATTAACTAGCTGCGTAACAAGAACATGACCAATTTAAGTTTATAGGACAACTAAACTATCAATTTAAACAAAAATTTCCCGTCAACTACAGACGTTGCACCCATCGATTCCGCCATGTTTCTCATTGACACGCCCCCAACTCGGAAACGTACTGTTTCCCACTCGTAATAACGACTTTGTGGTGGCGTTCATGTGCGTTCAACTTGTAAATACGATCTATCCGACATGACTTGAACGCACCAATAGACCCACCCTGAGTGAGATGTAGACAAGAATGACTCCTAACAAGCAATGAGGTGTTCTGTTGTTGGATGTAATAATGAACATAGCAGTCGTCATTTACTCCCGACATCTGAGCCGCTGAAGATGCAGTGGATCTCGTTTGTTTTTGAAGGGAATGCGCCCCCGATCTACATAAATGCATCTATGTTCACGCGAATCATTCATGATCCAGCCTCATCTACAGAAGTGAGTATAATGTTTTGTAATGAATCTTTGCAAATCGCCTTTCCTAATAATGTGCTAATTAGCAAGTTTCACGATGAATGCGGCTAAATTAAACAGTCTCTCTGAGAGCGGCTCGGAAGAGAGGGGCGGAGTCAGCAGAGCTCATTAACATTTAAAGGAAAATGCTACAAAACGTTTTTTTGACAGGGTAAAAAAGGTGTTTTTTTACACTACCATTGAGAAATTCTTACCAAACTATGTTACAGACTTTTCATTAAGACCCTAAAGAATCATATCAACTTGTGGAAAATGGGCATCCGATGACCCCTTTAAGAAAGCTTTTAGAATAACTGAGTGTAACTTGACTTGTTCTATATTATTTGCTAGGTATAAGGCTTTTAATATTCATTTTTGCAATGACCTTCAACCCTGTGATGTTCAACACACTGAAACTGAATGATATACACAACCACTCAATTTAGTGTGCGGTCAGTAAGATTTTTTCAATATTAAGTCTCTTACAATGCATTTATTTGCTTAAAAATACAGTAAAAAACTGTAACATTATGAAATATCATTACAATTTAAAATAACTGATTTCTATTTTAATACATTTTCAAATATAATTTATTCCTGTGATCGAAGCTGAATTTTCAGCATCATTACTCCAGTCTTCAGTGTCACATGATCCTTCAGAAATCATTCTAATATGCTGATTTGCTGCTCAATAAATATTTTTTGATTTTTAATATTGAAAACAGTTGTGCTGCTTCATATTTTTATGGAAAACATGAAACAATTTTTTTTTATTTTTTATCTTTGACAAACAACATTTTTTTTGTTGCTAAAAGAGACAAACTGCTGGTTCTTTTTTTACATTTTCAATTTATTTCATGAATAATTTTGGTGATGCATATAATAGTGCCTGCCATATATATGTGAAACTAGCATTTAAATCAAGAAGGCGTTTATTCTTCTCCTGTATGCAGATCTTTGAATTGCTGATATAAAAAAGTTACAAGATTAAAACTGAGCATTAGACTGGAGTCAGAAGACATTCGACATCATAACATTTATTTTTTTCCCCAGAGGGTTCTGTCATCCTTAATATTTCATATATTGTTTTGTGTTATTTACTGGACCGTCACATCAATATGACAAATTCAGTTTATTCACGAACAACGTCAAAGACACGGACAATCAAATAAAAGCATGAGCCCCCAATTCCATTTTTTCAATATTAAGTCTCTTACAATGCATTTATTTGCTTAAAAATACAGTAAAAAACTGTAACATTATGAAATATCATTACAATTTAAAATAACTGATTTCTATTTTAATACATTTTCAAATATAATTTATTCCTGTGATCGAAGCTGAATTTTCAGCATCATTACTCCAGTCTTCAGTGTCACATGATCCTTCAGAAATCATTCTAATATGCTGATTTGCTGCTCAATAAATATTTTTTGATTTTTAATATTGAAAACAGTTGTGCTGCTTCATATTTTTATGGAAAACATGAAACAATTTTATTTTTTTTTTTTATCTTTGACAAACAACATTTTTTTTGTTGCTAAAAGAGACAAACTGCTGGTTCTTTTTTTACATTTTCAATTTATTTCATGAATAATTTTGGTGATGCATATAATAGTGCCTGCCATATATATGTGAAACTAGCATTTAAATCAAGAAGGCGTTTATTCTTCTCCTGTATGCAGATCTTTGAATTGCTGATATAAAAAAGTTACAAGATTAAAACTGAGCATTAGACTGGAGTCAGAAGACATTCGACATCATAACATTTATTTTTTTCCCCAGAGGGTTCTGTCATCCTTAATATTTCATATATTGTTTTGTGTTATTTACTGGACCGTCACATCAATATGACAAATTCAGTTTATTCACGAACAACGTCAAAGACACGGACAATCAAATAAAAGCATGAGCCCCCAATTCCCCACATCTTAAAATCTACTGCCTGAGCAAAGACGGCACGTGTTTGGAACACAGCAGCCACAATATGATAAAAGAGAAACGTACAGCTAAAACTCAGCTCTCTATGGGGTGGCCAGCAAACAGTCCTCAGAACCTGCTGTGGATTACTATACAAAACAATGAGAAATGCAACCAAACACAACACAAACGGGTCTGGAAATCTACTCAGATACTCTTACTTCCTGTTGGTCATTTATAATCACTCATTAGTTTAGTGAATAAAACAGAGAATGAAAAGTGCAGAAACCAATTATAAATGCAGTATTTTCCAACCTACTCTTGGCTTATTTGTTTTATACACTGGATGGTGGATGTTTCGTAACATCTCTCACATGTTTGACACAGAAGACTATCTTGAAGTTAAGAGCAGAAGCGTGCATGTTCTGTTCCTATAGAAGTGCCCTGAACATTATTGCTCAAACTGGCTTGATTCTCTACTGAAACATTGTTCCTCTTCATTGTAATATTGAGCAAGCGTGGATCGTTTGCTCAACAAGTGTTTTGCTTTCAGACTTACAAACATAGATATGAGCACACTCTCTCTCACGACTAAAACCCTATTTTACTGTTGAATGAGTAAAAATGTAGATATCGATACATGAAGGCATAGCACTGCCGACAACAAACAGACACCTTCATTTCCCAGAATTCGTTTTTTTTTTTGCTGTGGATGTTTAGCTTTCTTTATCCAGAATGTTCTTCACATCCGCAAACACCTGGAAAAAAAAACAGGTAAAAGGAAGCAATATGAAACTCAAAAAGATGGACAGATGTTTATTATTTACCTCTGGCACAGTAAAGAGCAGTGTTATTTTCGTATTATTTCTATATTATTATTATTATTGTATTTAATAATACATCAGTATCAGGGCCGGGTTTTGACGTTTCATGATTCGATTTGAGTCACAAACTTGCGATTCGATTCCGATTTAATATCGATTATTTTGGATATATATCAGGTAAAGTACATGGCAAATGTTCTCAAGGAAAAAAATCTCTCAACTAATGTCATAAAATATACACGAGACGAGAGTAGGGCTGTCACGATTCCTTGATTAAATTTGAGTACTCGAATATTAAAAAAAAAATCCTTGATGGCATTTTGCTCGTGTCGATTAACCGGCAAAATACCAAAAGTAGCGCATTCCACAGACGAGAATCCGTGAAAAGCATTATTCGACCGTTTTCTAAGGCTGCACAAAATATTAAAACCATAAAAAAATTGTAAAGCATAGTGCTATTGTGAATTCACAAAGGCTGCGATTCAATTAAATGAATATATGCGCTGCCGGTTTAATATGCGCTTTATAAAAGTTTAAACCCTCGCTCTGAGATTGCATGTTTTGATGTCCACATGTGCTTGTTCAAGAAATTTCAGTGGCTGTAGTATTTCTAAAGAATCATAAAGACATTTGAATTAAATATTAAACAAGGATTAGATTGTGCTGTAAAATGTGTAAAAACAATCATCAGGCTGTTGGCGCCCTCTGCAGGCTTTTGATATAATACATAATGTACATAAGTTATGATTATATTGTTTTATTACATGATGTAAATATGAACTGTTTTGTTCAGTAAAACCATATGATTACTTGTTTTTGATATTTTATGTTTACTTGCTTTTGATATTTTATAAAATCATGATATTTTTGAGAGTCAGCTGGTACTACATTGCTATAATATTGAAGGATAAAATGAACTGACTTAAATTACACTCAAAGTTTTTTATAATAAAGTTATAACTTTAGTATTATTTCTACTCCAATTATTATTATTATAATTTTTTTTATATATATAAATGGTGGCTGTCATAACTTACGGAAGTCCTAAGAGGCTTATTTATCAACTATATTCAGGTCTATAGTGCCACCTGTTGGCGCAGTTGTGTAACTTAGAGAACAACTTTCGTTATGTCGAGATCATGAGAAAATTAAGTCGTGATAACGAGAAAACAACTTTCGTTATGTCAAGATCACGAGAAAATATGAAGTCGTGATAACGAGAAAACAACTTTCGTTATGTCGAGATCACTAGAAAATTAAATCGTGATAACGAGAAAACAACTTTCATGACATGTCGAGATCACGAGAAAATTAAGTCGTGTTAATGAGAAAACAACTTTCGTTATGTCGAGATCACGAGAAAATATTAAGTCGTGATAACGAGAAAACAACTTTCGTTATGTCGAGATCACGAGAAAATATTAAGTCGTGATAACGAGAAAACAACATTCGTTATTATGTCGAGATCACGAGAAAACAACTTTCGTTATGTCGAGATCGCGAAAAAATATTACGTCGTGACAACGAGAAAACAACTTTCGTTATGTCGAGATCACTAGAAAATTCAATTGTGATAACGAGAAAACAACTTTCGTTATGTCGAGATCACTAGAAAATTCAATTGTGATAACGAGAAAACAACTTTCGTTATGTCGAGATCACTAGAAAATTAAGTCGTGATCACAAGAAAACAACTTTTGTTATGTCGAGATCACGAGAAAATTAAGTCGTGATCACGAGAAAACAAGAAAAAAAATTTATAATCTATGGCCTCTTAGAACTTCCGTAAAAACTTGACTGATTTATTTAAACAAATTAAATATTGAAGAACAGTAAAAAATTATAATGAATATGTTACATGGTGCATATATTTAGCAAAATGCTCCTCTCGAAAGTTCATTTTTCTAGCTGACTAATGAGTTTATGGTCACCGAATGTGTTTTTTTCTGAGGTAAATGTGATGTTAAGTGACATTGTTTACAAGCTTTTAACTATTAAACCGGAGGAGATGATCAGTTCTCACGTACTTCTCTTGAACTGAGGCGCTACAGCGATCTGTCACTCCACATTAAACAGCGCAAAAACTGTATTTATAAGTTTAATATTGTAATAAATTGGACAGAATTTGAAATCTTAGACTTTGTTTCATATCAAATGTAACAAAGCACAAAACGTATTGCAATTTATTGGATGGGAGGCTACAATGATCCGTTCATTAACTGAAAACAAGCTAGACTAATCGGGACTAATTGGATTTAAGAATAGATATTGTTTTGTAAAAATGAGAATAGATTAAAATCGAGAAATCAACATTTTTTACTTGGCCCTAATCAATATATTATTAATATGGTATTAAATACAAAAAAAAAAAAACACAGAAACATTCAAATAAGCCTTTATTTTCAGTTTTCATTTAATTATTTCATGTTTTAGCAATTATGTCATGTGCTTTTGTGATTTCAGTTTTAGTTTTAATAATTTTTCCTTTGGTTTTTTTAAGCTTAAGTGTTTCGTCTAATATTTATATGCACAATAGAATAACAGCATTTTTTGTATAGCAACATATAGAGACTATATATTCTAGTAAAATATACATCTTCTTAATGAGTATGATTAATAAAATAATATTGGGATTTTCATGAAAATTTGTGTCCTTAAAATGAATAGTTGAAAATGAAAATTTGCTGAAAATTTACTCACCCTCAGGCCATCCAAAATGTAGATGAGTTTGTTTCTCCATCATAACAGATTTGGAGAAATGTAGCATTCCATCACTTGCTCGCTAGTGGATCCTCTGCAGTGAATGGGTGCCGTCAGAATCAGAGTCCAAACAGCTGATAAAAACATCACAATAATCCACATCACTCCAGTCCATCAATTAATGTCTTGAGAAGCGAAAAGCTGCATGTTTGTAAGAAAATTCATCATTAATGCATTTTTAACTTAATACAGTTGCTTCTGACTAAAATGGTGGATTTTGATGTGAGAGGGATGGACTCGTTTTTTGGCCAGAAGCAACAGATTAAAATTAAAACATACTAATGATGGATTTGTTTCTTACAAACATGCAATGTTTCACTTAAAAAAAAAAACATTAAGTGATGGACTGGAGTGGTGTGGATTATTATGATGCTTTTATCAGCTGTTTGGACTCCCATTCTGACGGCACCCATTCACTGCAGAGGATCCATTATTGAGCAATACGTGATTACGTGACAACGTGATATTGCAATAAGTGATGCAATACTACATTTCAGATCTGTTCCAATGAAGAAACAAACTCATCTACATCTTGGATGACCAGAGTAAATTTTCAGCAGATTTGTGTTTTCAGGTGAACTATTCCTGTTCCTACTATTTTTTATTAATATGCATAAGTCGTGATAACGAGAAAACAACTTTCGCTATGTCAAGATCACAAGAAAATTAAGTCGTGATAACGAGAAGCATTTCGAAGCATTTTTGATAGTCTTTCAAAAACTATCAATTAATAAAGCATAATAAAATTAAGTTCTATTTGATTTACCTTTAATACAAAACTTTAAAAAAAAATACATTTAATGAGATAACTAAAACCAGTCGTACCTCATCCACTGATCGGGAGGCATATAAAGCATAATAAAATTAAGTTCTATTTGATTTACCTTTAATACAAAACTTTTAAAAAAATACATTTAATGAGATAACTAAAACCAGTCGTACCTCATCCACTGATCGGGAGGCATCAATCGTGCACACCTTCCCCTGCTTCTCGTACTGTACTATAATGGGTCGTGTGGACTGGAGGTACGTCTGGATCCTGAAAATTAAAGTTAAGGCGAATCAAACGCACAACCAAAGTCACTGTAAACATGACCGTGAGAGTCCATCCTTTTCCGTATAGGTCTGCTAACATACAGTAATCATATTACATGCTTTGTATGCAGCTCAATATATCTGATACAGTTATAATGGGGAGAACTACCTTTTCTCTAGACTTTCTCTGTTATCATCAGTGCGTCCGCTGCTCTTGCCCCGCTCTAAACATCTGTCAATGCACACCTGAAAAACACAACAGCTGAAAATCACATTTTATGTAGACAGTATAAATTGTGAATGTGATCTCTTTGGTGTTTATGATTGATCAACTGTTTTTTTTGTACATTATTAATAAAAGTCAGTTTAAAATAGTTTTCTTATGATGGTAATTTAAAAAAACTTTTTACTAAATGTTATTTACTAGGTGTTTCGATTCTATATGCATGTGTATGGAACAAATAGTGTTGCTTTAACCACTGCACCTATGGAACTTAATTGGAAACTTATTTTTTTATATTGTTACTTTCGATAAGAAACAAAGTCTCATCTTACAAATTCTGACCATTTTTTCCAGGAAATTTAAATAATAAATGCTGTTTTGGGGCTCGCTGTATAGGCACCTCATCACGCCACAGTGTGGAGCGCTAGTGAACGCAATCTCCCCTTCCTCTTTACTACTAGTTATAGCATGAAATAAACATGAATGAACATCTCATGTAATCACTCAACCAGTGTTTCAACTGCAGAAACACAACAATAAAACAGCTTGTAAACAAAATGTCACACAGCATTACATACCTCAGGCCAGTCATTTAATGTCCACAGCTTGATTGTTTGCTAGAGAAATGAACTCTGGAGAAGAGCATATCACTAAATAAGCCTATATATTAATTATATTTTACTTAACCTATTAGTGATAATTATTAAGTTATGACAGTTACCGTGCAACTGATTATTTCAACATCAAATAGACTGCCTTATGTGCAATTTATGTGTTTGCATACAATGTGTGTATTTAATTATTATACATAAAAATAAATAACAATTGAATTTAATAGTTTGGACTCTGTTGTTCATTGTAACCTTTAATATTAATGTGCAAGTATTAGGGCTCCCTATAGTTTACAGCATTAGCTGAGGTAGATTTTCATCCTTAAGAAATTTTAATATTATTAGTTTGAATTTATTTAAAGTCAGAACAACAATTTGTTCAGTAAACCACTCTTTAATAAAAACAAAAAAAATACACAATTTTTTTTTGTTAATTTTTTCCTCCCTGCTGTAAAAACCAAGACACGTACCGAACCATTGTGTTTGTGTACCATTACACCTCTATTTACAAATAAAAATTTGCAAAAATTATTTTATTTTTCATTCCAAATGATATATCAAAAATCAGATGCCACTTTAATCAACTGTAATGGTAGTGCAATAAATCAAAAACACTCTTAAAACATATGCTGCCCCTCACCTCATTACCGCAGTCAAAGAAAAGAACAAACTTGACATCTGCCTTCCCGTCCATGACAGTGTTCCATCCCTGCAGGTTGTCTTGGTTACGTGGGAAACCATCGATAAGAAAGCGGAACTTCTTTTCATCGGCTTTCATGGTCTCTTCCATTGCCTGATAAATACAGGTTTTTTTGTTCCAGTAAAGATAAAGATCAGAATACATCCATTTTTAGATAAGATAAATGACTGGTCTGCTCAGAAAAGGCCGGTCAATCAGAATTACAACTTGACTGTAAAGAGGCTTGTCAGTTTTATAATGGTATCGGATTTATGCCTATTATGAGACAAGCCTGTCCATTTATGGCTATTATGAGCTCTCCTCCCCTGAATCTGCTCACATTTTTTATCAAGTAAAATTTCTCTATCTGTTTGAAAATGTTGCCTGCTCATGTTCCAGTTTCCTTCTACAGTCACCATGAGTCACGACCTGGAATGCTTTGGCTTGTTAAGCAGGACGGACGAGTTGTAACCACCTTTTTCAGCAAGTTGATGGTGATTTCAACAGGAACTATCTTGCCCTCTTTGATGTAGGAGTCAATGAGCTGACCAAACTCAGAGCCGCTGCGGCTGCGCTCCGCTCTCAGCAGGTCTCCGGCAGACAGGTGAGTGTAGCTGTAGTTCTGAGCGCAGGAGAGAGACAGTTAAACAAAAACATCACATATTACGAACTGCAATGCAGCACATTATAGTCCCGTAAGATTATAAACTCCTTATGATGGAATATGACAGTTGTCATTTATATGAACGGAAAGAAAAAAAAGAGAGGTGTGTGGGTTTGGTAACCGAACAGGCAGCTTTGTAGCAAAGGCCATCCAGACACTATACTGTAAAAAATGACCGTGAATTTAACGGTAAAAGACTGTAAAAATGCTACAGTAAAAACCTGTTAAATGGTTAACGGTAAATTCCCCTACTATATACGCTGAAAAACTGTATTGGACATTACATGTATTGGACATTAATTTTACGGTAGTATACCGTTTTTGGAAGTGAAAAAGACTGTATAATTTACAGTGAATAACCGTAAATAGACATTCCCAGAATTCCCTGCGTTACATTTCAAATTTGATGTTTTTTTGTTGAAATAACTATGTTTCTTCTTAGTTTTTTCTTATCAGTTTTGTATATTAGGGTTGTGTGTTACACTTAATGTTGTTAAATGAATGTTTATTGCATTATTTCAGTTTCACGTGTGTTGCCATGATGGTGTTTAGTGTTTGTGTGAATGACACTGTGCACCTTCTATACATGTTATTATCTAAAAGCTGCTTGTGATGGGCTTTGGTTCATCATGTGACTTTCTCATCACCACCTGCATTAAGTGGTTATCAGATTAGGTACAAAACAGATTTCAGTACTTCAATAGGTTGGTATATTAACATTATATCAGTTAATGAAATTACGGTTTTTAACTGTAAATTTGAAACCGTAAAAACCTGAAACGTTGCTACTGTATTTCTTACGGTAAAATTCCGGCAACCACAGCTGCCGTTTTTTTACCGTAAATTTTACGGAATTTTCACATATCCAATGGTTTTTAAGATCATGAAACACAAATTCAGTCAAGTGTGGCTGCTAGAGTATGTGTGGCCATCATGAGCACACAAAAGACTCATTTTACAACCTTGCTCAGATGCCATATGGCTAATAAAGAAGGTTTTTTCTAACACTCCAAGTACGGACTAAACAGCTTTACAAAATGAGAACAGAGATTGGATCAAACAACAGTTATAAGATACGAGTAGTTGACATGAAATGCCGTGGCAGTTAATGCAAATATACACTTATGTGGGTCAAAGACAAGATGTCGCATTTTGTTGTCTGCATCAAATTATACAGTATTTACAAAAGTAAATTTTATATACACAGAAAGCATATTAAATGCAAGTCTATACTGCAAGTGTTTCAAATAACTTTTGTCAAAATAAAAATGTCAAAATATGGGTGAAATAATGTTCCATCACCATTCAGTGCAACAGATATAATTATGTAAAAATGAAACAACATACTTATTCTGACCAGTGCTTACTAAAATATATAAAAGAAAAGTGATCATACTAAATTTGATTTTATTTTCAATTAAAACTTCTTGCTGTGAATGAAGGATAGTGGCCGAGATTAAATGCTTAATTAGTATTTGAATTGGTAAATAATTAGTAACTATTTTTTTAAATAGTCTTTTAATGTCATCTACATATTCTTGTGATATCTTAGTGGGCGTCGTCTGTAAATCATAGTAAGAACGTAAAGTCATTATTTTAGCTCAGAAAAAAATACAATTAAACAGGACACATTCTAAAGCATTACAAAAACGAATTTTAAAGCTGTACTGAACAGTAACATTGTGAAATATTTATTTATTCCTGTGGATTTTCAGCAGCCATTATGTCAGTATTCAATGCCTTCGGTGTCTTTAAATGAATCCTTCAGAAATGACTGTTTATACTGTATTATCATGTATAGTCGTATCAGTTTTACGCTTCTCACATATGCCCTTCTACCCAGTGCTGGTGCCAGATCAAGACAGCTGAACACTGCACAGAGAGCAGGGAGCGACCTGTCTGAACACAGAATATATGAATATGAACGCGGAAATGAACGGTGCTGCCACTTAAGCTGCAGCAAATCTGAATCCATTACCACTCTACCAGCCCCAGAAAGCCTCGTTGTCTGAAACACAACGCTTAAATGGCTATTCTCCCTCAATATGCTAAAAGACTTAATGCTGCATCTCTCTTACCGCCACGATTCTCGCGCATTGTGTCCCTTTCCCCGCGCCAGGCCCGCCCAAAACAAACACGACCTGCGGCTTCATCATCACGCTCCACCCGTGCACAGCGCGTGGAAGCTTCTTCAGCCGGTGCAGCAAAGCCACAATCATAAACCGTGCGGATAAGAGAGCGCTGCACTCAATGTATGACCATCGACCCCTGAGAGTCCGGGACAGAGCTGCTTGAATGACCGGCTGATGCGTGTCGAGGAAGAGCGGCGGCCAGATTCCACTTCCGCCGTACACGTGTCCGACCAATCAGAGAGCAGAGGATTTACGGACGTCACTTAAACGACGCCCATAGCTCTAAACGCTCAACATTGTGTGCATCTTATAATATTTGTTATTTCCTTTAATGTACAGTTGACTGAATGCTCTGTGACCTTTTGCCTGGTTGTTAAAAAGTGCCTTTACTTTATATAATGTAATTTATATTGCCCCTGGCCCTGTATGTTTTTTTTTGTACTTTATTTATTTTTGTTTTGTGATTTTGTTGTTACTAGGGTTGTATATTTTTGTATACTTCTCGATAATCCTAATAAAAAAATAAAAAAATTAAAAACGCTCTCTAGAAGGCGCACCCCTCCTGCGCCCTGTCGCGCTCCAGCATCAGCACCCGTGTTGCCATGTCCGCTTATTAAATGCGACGTCGTTTTTATATATATATATATATATATATATATATATATATATATATATATATAGTTGTGCTTATAATTTGAATACGAGCATTCCCAAATTTTGGCATAATGTTTAGAATGTATAACCATAAATTAGATTTGCTGATGCTTGACCTTCATTACAGCACAAAGTATGACTAACCGTTCAGTAGGCCTACGTCTGCATTTTCTAAGGAAAAAGGGTATTTACATGTAATTTTCACAACTTCTTTTTCGTAAAGACATATCATCAGCTGAACACTTGGTATTTTGTTAAACAACAGCACAATCTATTGAAGACACTGCACTTTTACCCTTCACGGCCTCGTTTTCATTCCTGTAAAATAATAATAATAATAAATATGGCTACCCTGATGGGGACCCTTTTCACAAGACTGAGACGTTTCAACGGTCATCAGAATCGTAATCCTCCAAAGTTTTTGGTATTTTCATTTTGTTTTAAAAATGTATGTACATTTATAACACTATATGTTGTATTACCTTTGCATCAAATTACAAAAAAAACACAAACTAGTTAACGCTAAGGCGAGGGTGTTTCTAATACAGCGTTTTCTGGAGTTTCTCTACTGACTGATTTGCTGTTTGAACAAATGGGAATGCAAACAATATATCTGTGGTAGTCTCCCATTCACTGCGACTGAGGTTTACCCAACTATGTTGACTTCTGCTGCTGAGAAACCCGGAAATGTGAAAAAGCTCAACTTCTAACCAGTTAAACATAATTTAACCGGTTCAACTTTGAAAATGTTTATTATTAGGTATTTTGAAGGAACAGTTTTCTCAGCATTACGTTAAGGTGCATTTAATCCTAATACTACATAGTGTATCCATACGCACGACAGAGATCATTTTCCACTTATTTCGATTTTATTTATTCGTTTACAAAATAATAAGTTGCAATTTAGCATCGCTTGATCTAGCTTTTATGGAAACACGACCAGGCTGCTTGTTTTTCTCGCGCGATCTGGCAACACTGATCAGCACCTCGCTGCAACTGAACAGCGACCATATAAGCACATGTCTGCGTTAAGATGCTCTGCTGTTTTTCATTGGAGGAATATATTTCAAAATCACTGCGCTATATAATGTTGCAGGGGGATTGCATGCGCTGTTTTTATTACTATCACCATCTTTGTGTTCTCCATAGATTTGCACAGGGTGTCTTCGCTGTGGATGTAAGGGATGGAAACGCACAAAGGAAAAACACACAATTAGTCCAGTGATGCCAGGAATTACGTTTTTAAACGCAGCACAACCGACCCAAGTTTGCATTGTAAATCAGATGCACTGAATCCTTCCTCGGTTGGTTCCGTCTGTGTGTCGCTTCCCCCTTTTCAAAAGGAGCCGCATCAACAAAATGTTGGGTAGGTCGTTCACCTGGAGGAATGGAAACACGACCAGGCTGCTTGTTTTTCTCGCGCGATCTGGCAACACTGATCAGCACCTCGCTGCAACTGAACAGCGACCATATAAGCACATGTCTGCGTTAAGATGCTCTGCTGTTTTTCATTGCAGGAATATATTTCAAAATCACTGCGCTATATAATGTTGCAGGGGGATTGCATGCGCTGTGTTTTTATTACTATCACCATCTTTGTGTTCTCCATAGATTTGCACAGGGTGTCTTCGCTGTGGATGTAAGGGATGGAAACGCACAAAGGAAAAACACACAATTAGTCCAGTGATGCCAGGAATTACGTTTTTAAACGCAGCACAACCGACCCAAGTTTGCATTGTAAATCAGATGCACTGAATCCTTCCTCGGTTGGTTCCGTCTGTGTGTCGCTTCCCCCTTTTCAAAAGGAGCCGCATCAACAAAATGTTGGGTAGGTCGTTCACCTGGAGGAAATATAACCAGCATACACTCTCTATGCAGCACCGGCTCTGACATGCCCGAGTCCAGCAGAAAAACCAGGACCAAAGGGCTCAGAGCTACAGCCGGACGCGTGAATTGGAAGGAGGACGGCAAACAGGCGCACACCGGGTGTCCGATTCGGTGGAGGCCGGATCACATCTGCTCGGGACGAGCATCAAGGGCAGTGCGGCACTCCAGGCGACACGGATCATCCACACACCCTTATTTCCACAACACCGCCGTGTTCCCGTTACACTTCTTCGCCTGTCTAAAAAAGATGTGCTAGAACAACACACGGGCGCTCTGAAATGCAACAAAACATGTTTGTCTGGCAGACATGCTTTTAATTGCTTTCACCCAGAGGATTTCTCGAGTTGGAAATAAATCTGTCAGCGTTTCAAGGGATGTAAAAAGTGCCAATGAATATATTGCTTAAATATATCCTCTTTTTTCTGCCATTGGCCACATTGACACCCCTAATAAGCAGGACCATGGGTTGCATTCAGAGCATTTAAAACAGGTTTTTTAATTAGCGGGACATGAACAATTTTTTGGGAAGTGGTGGGTCCACAGGACTGTAGTTGAGAAACGTTGCTCTAACATGATCCAATTTCAAAAACATGATTACATGCCTCAAAAGCTCAAACTAATGTGAATTAAATATTGTCTGTTTCCTGACCCTTTAGGCGCTTTGTAGGTATTAATCCAGAGAGAGGAACAAAGTGAAAGGAAAAGTGCCATTGAAACAGGTTGAAGTGAACCAACATGTTGCCACTCTTTTTTGCAAAGTAAAGGATTTTCAGTGGAATTTCTGAAATGTAAGAAGTACTCATACACATACACCAAGATCTCTTCTTCCTTTTATTACTCTCTATCTGTATCTTTCATCCCTCTATTTGACTGTATCATTATGTTTTGTAATATAATATATTATCCTCTTTGTTCTTTCCAATATTTCTAGTCAGTCTTTGCATCTTGGGATGGAACAGCATATGGAGCTGAACCGTTCTCCTGTTTTTGATCCAAACTTTTGTTGGACTCACTTGGGGCCTTGTTGTTTGGCCATGTTGGACTGTCCATGAAGTGGTGAAAATTCATCAGTGTTTTTGTGGTTTTATTATGATCATGTTATTTAACTCAAATTCAAAATAATTCTAAACACAATGTTTTATGACATTTCTTTCATGCAAATTGACAGCTATATATTGAATAAATTTTGACCTGTTTTTCAAAATTAATAAGTGTCAAATTATCATTTGTTTTGTGAAATAATCAATTGAATTAAGTTATGCATTATACAACACTTTATGCAGTTACATATTGTTTAAAACATTATGCAGTTAATGAATAGTTTAAATTTAAAATTCAGCTGTCATTAATATTCAGCAATCAGGAAAATATATACTGCATATTACATCCGTTCTCTAAATATAGCATATACACATTAAAGTAGTTCACTGTAAAAAACTAAATACAGCAATTTAAAAATACAGTTATTTACTGTAATCAGGAACCACAGAAAAATGCTGTGAATTACAGCAACGCTGCTGTAAAAATTACAGTAACTGTCTGGCAACTTTTCTGCCAGTATTTTACTGTAAAATTTACAGGCAATTTTTTACAGTGTGGCTTAATAAAGCCTTGTTTTAAAGTTTTGAAAAAGTTTAAAAACCCTTGAACTTTTAAGGTTCGTGTATTTGAGGACCTTTTCTAACTTGCTAATTGTTTGTTTGTAAGGCCTCTTGTTAACTTTGGTTTAAAAACTGAGTTAATCCAGCCAAGCTTTCTGTCTGGCCTTGCCACTCTGTTCGTAGCACATTACATATTCAACCTGGAGTACCAGGAGGAGACAGCCAGTACCTTGAGTTCATTCAAAGGTTGTGGTTAAATTCTAACATTAAAGTAGTTCACTGTAAAAAACAAAATACAGCAATTTAAAAATACAGTTATTTACTGTAATCAGGAACCACAGAAAAATGCTGTGAATTACAGCAACGCTGCTGTAAAAATTACAGTAACTGTCTGGCAACCTTTCTGCCAGTATTTTACTGTAAAATTTACAGGCAATTTTTTACAGTGTGGCTTAATAAAGCCTTGTTTTAAAGTTTTGAAAAAGTTTAAAAACCCTTGAACTTTTAAGGTTCATAGGTCTTATGGGCAGAGAATCCATTACCCAGAATGCACTAACTATGTTGAATTGTTTTTAATAAATTGCGCTTTCTGTCATTCCACTTCTACATCTGGTGGGTTGTGCAAAGTTCATATTAAACTTACACTCATGAATTGAAAGAATTTTTGCCCAATCCTTATCTATTGATCATGGTTTTTCCAATAAATACAGCAATTTAAAAATACAGTTATTTACTGTAATCAGGAACCACAGAAAAATGCTGTGAATTACAGCAACGCTGCTGTAAAAATTACAGTAACTGTCTGGCAACTTTTCTGCCAGTATTTTACTGTAAAATTTACAGGCAATTTTTTACAGTGTGGCTTAATAAAGCCTTGTTTTAAAGTTTTGAAAAAGTTTAAAAACCCTTGAACTTTTAAGGTTCATAGGTCTTATGGGCAGAGAATCCATTACCCAGAATGCACTAACTATGTTGAATTGTTTTTAATAAATTGCGCTTTCTGTCATTCCACTTCTACATCTGGTGAGTTGTGCAAAGTTCATATTAAGCTTACACTCATGAACTGAAAGAATTTTT